AACTTGAGTAAGTTCTGACTTCTGGATGAGTAAAGCGACTCGTGTCTCTCAATGAACACTAACCCAGCCCGATGGCCCCACGCTTCCTGTGCCTCCCTCTTACGTGGCCAGGAACTGAGAAACGGAACTGAGGAAGTGGTGGCACCTGGTCCTCAGGACTGATGCCCCTCTTGCAGCACTGAAGGTTTAAGGTCTTTCTGTTCTTAGTGTGGGCATGTGTGCATGTCATTAATAGAAGGAAGGTACAAGACCCAAACATGACCTGCATCCAAGCCATGAGAAATGATTTTCATTTCTTTCCAGAAATCACAGACAAGGTGTTCGAGCTGCAACAAACTGAGATGGTACAGACCATGTCACCTAAAGAGACAATCACCGTGGGTTGCAACTGCCAGTTCCAATCCCAAATGGAGCCTGTCTCACGATTCAAGGGATCTGAACAACCCCAAAATTAATCTACGATTCCTAGAAAGGCCACATTCCTTTAGTAAAAGCAACTGGAGACACCAACAAACCCAACAGCACACACTTTTTCCATTTATATCAGTGAAATCTCTTGCAGATGCTAAGTGACACAGAGTACTAATCAGGTCAGGGCACCCAGGTGTCTGTTATTGGTGAGTATGTCTCCTACTCGGTCTGGTGTGTTATTACCTCAATAATCATGACTCCCATTCATTGAATAACTGCCATCTGCCAAAAACAACAATATCTACATTAGTATGTTAAGAGATCTGTGACATAAATATGTAAAATAGGACATCAAAATTCAAAATAAGGGGAGGAAGAGTGAAATGTAAGTTTTTATTAATATTTCCATCTCTTGTTCCTTAACTTTACAATTAAGATTAAGTGTCATTATTTCAAAATAATTTGAAATAAAATTTTAAAAAAATCAAAAGATGTCCTTGTAAGCCTTATGGTACCCACAAAGCAGAGAAATCTGTGTTCCATCCTGAGTCTAGGAAAATATGAGCACCTGCTCATATATTCCTTCCCTCTTCCAGTACCCACTTTCTAGATATCAATAAATGACATGATCATAAATATAACTGACATGATCAATTTTAATTCTGAGTAGTTTTTAGACTTAAAATTATATAAAATGCCTTGAATAGTTGCTGGCTCACCAACTCTAATTGGTTATCTATTGTCCTTCTTGGGGCCTCACCCTCTCTGGCCATGGCAATAGGCCCATGGGACCGGGCCCTACTTGGGCAGACTGTGAATCTCAGCTGCTTGTCTTGTGGCTTCTTTCCCAGAAAAACATCACCCTGAAGTAGTTCAAAAATGGAGAGGAACCTTCATCCCTCCAGGTGTTCAGCTGAAGAACAGTAGTAATGCCAACACAATCCTAAGTACCTTGGTGATCCTGGCTCCAGAGGACTTCAGCTCTCATGCCATCTGCAGTGTGGGCCACACCAAGCCTGCAGCACCCTCTTCATAGAAATGCTGAGTTGGATGGGCTCATGCATGTGCTAGGAATGCCACCAGGCTAGGCAGGTAGCAAATAAATGGCCACCAAGTAGTGATCAAGGTGAATCTGATTATTTCATGAAGTCTGAGCATTTGTCCTGAGCTATTTCCGTTTCACCAACAATGTCTATTTTTCAAACCCCATCTCAAATGACAAGAGGCAAAGTTCTAGCCCCAGAATGCACAGTGGACCTGGAAGAAGAATGGAAATGTCTCCCAGACAGATGAGACTCTAATCCCCACCAAAGGCAGGGATGGACTACGCAGTGAGCAGAGCTTCATCCCAGGGAAGAAAACTGACCACGTGGAGGACACTGTCCTCACCTGCCAGGTGGAACAAGATGGGCAGCAGAAGGTCTCTACAAAAAGGACACTTTTGGCTTCTGCTCACCAGGACAAGTCTAAGATGTAGCCAATGGCAAGGCCTCTGTGATTTATTTAAAGAGGCTACATCATCTTTCTTGAAGACTTTCTTCTCCAACATGAAATTTAAATTATGACAGCAAATCCTGCACTGCCCTCTCTCCCCCCTCTTCCTCCCTCTCTCTCTTTCTCTCTTCCTCCCTCTCTCTCTCTCTCTCTCTCTCTCTCTCTTTCTCTCTCTTTCATGCATACACAATACTCTCACTTTTGCTCTTTCATTCATTTGCTTGCTCTTTTCACTCACACACACACACACACACACACACACAATCCAAAATTGTGTAATTACCTATTAAAAACTAAATATTAAAAATCAAGAGCTGGGGTTGTGGCTCAGCGGTATAGCATTTGCCTGGCATGTGTGAGGCACTGGCTTCGATTCTCAGTGCTCCATGTAAGTAAGTAAGTAAATAAATAAATAAAATAAAGTTTTATTGACAACTAAATTTTTTTAAATAAATTACACCAAATTCAACTCTGCGGAGAGAGCTCCTATTTATGATCTGATGTACATACTTTTAAGGCCTCATGTACCCACAAAGTAGATTTGGGGTACTGGCAATGAGGAGGACTAGAGAATGTTTGAGACTCCTACCAGACCAGTGAGTCCGTGTTTCCTTGAATGCTCTTAATGATTTCTTGCCCAGAGATTTCTTTTTTTTTTTTTAATTTTTTATTGTGGGTTGTTCAAAACATTACAAATTTCTTGATATATCATATTCCATACTTTGATTCAAGTGGGTTGCCCAGAGATTTCTAAAGTTTCCTCATTTCCTGCATGAACCCAGGTCCTGGTGCGGAGCAAGTCAGCCTTGAGCTCTCCCGACAGGCGCTGTCTAGATGCCACTTACTACCAGGGTAGACATGCTCCTATGCCCTGATGTTGTTCTCCTGGTTTCCAGGCTCCAGGTTCCCAGTGTCTGGGTGTCTGGGTCCCCTGTCCTATATCTAGAGGGACAGCAGGAATGGACATGTGGGTTCCAGTCTCACCACCTTGTGACCCTACAATCTCTGAGCCTCAGTTTCCTAACCAACATGGAGATGATAAACCATGTCATGTGACTATGCTGGGAGCAAGCAAGGTGTGCAAGGTAACTAATGGTGGAGGAGGGTGAGATGCTGTTTTCCTGGGCTCCTGCCTCAGGTTTCTGCACCAGGGAGGGTGCGCTGTGCAGCAGGAATAGTTGTCACCACGGTGGGCCTCAGTGACCTCGGATGGGAAAGTGAAGGCCCTGGAGGAGGGGTTCCTGTGTGACCTCTGACAACCCTTCTTGCCACCCTTGCTCTTGTGACTCTCCTCCTAGGCCTCAGGTTGCTTCTGGTGATGGAGTCTCAGCCTTCATTCTGCAGGAAACAGAGGGCTGAGGAGAAGCTGGAGGCACAAGGACACAGGACAAGAGTGACCACAGCCTGACTCAGGAGCAGGCTAAGGTTAGGGGAAGAAGCCAGTCCAAGAAGGCCCAAGGGTGCCACGTTTCATCTGGACGAGGGGAACACCCAATTCTGTCTTGGGTAGTCCTCCGGGAATCTCCTGAAGTCCACTAAACAGCTCTGCGTGGTGAAGAAGGAAGCAGAGCTTGAGCAAAGCTTTGCAAAAGGTCTCCCAGAAGAACGGAGAGGATTAGAATCCATGGAAGAGGTGGCCTCTGGCCTCACAGAGGTGGGGTCAGGGATGAGCTGGCTGTGTGGCCACTACTGTGGTGGTTAGTGAGTGTCAGGATTCCTGGCTTTAGTCAGATTTTTCATTGCTGTGGCCAAAAGACCTGACAAGAACAATTAGAGGAGGAAAAGTTTATTTGGCTCTTGGTTTCAGAGGTCTCAGTCCCTAGACGGCCAACTCCATAGCTGCGGGCCAGAGGTGAGGCCGGGCATCGTGGTGGAAGAGCACAGCAGAGGAGAGCAGCTCAGGACGTGGGCGATCAGGAAGCAGGTAAAGTGTCTTCATGCCAGGGCAAAACGCAAACCCAAGGCACGCCCCCAGTGACCCACCTCCTCCATCCACACCCTCTCCTGGTTCAGAAACACCTGAACAGAGAAGACCACGCCCTGTTCTCACTGAGCTGTGTGCTCCATAAGCAAGACAAGTATGAAATACAAATGGTGAGTACAGACTCTGCCAAGGATGCTAGTGAGAAGGAGGAGAAGGAGGAGGACGATCCCCAGGAGATCCAGTGGCCTCAGACCTAAGGAAGAAAGAGAGGAGGACGGTGGGGACTTCAAGTGCCCGCAGAGAGGTCAGTGGAGCTGAGCCCAAACATAAGTGAAGGCTGGAGTGCAGCTGGCAAAGGATCGGGGGCCAAATCAGGGCGGACGAGAGAAGGGTTTCAGAGTAATGGGAAGCCGCCGAAAGAGAGTGACATGAAGCCACTGAAAGTGTGACGTGATCAAACTTCTCCTTTAGCAGGACCACCCCAGGGTAAGCAGATGGCTGACACAGGGAAAGTGGATGAGGCTGTCCGTGCCAGGGGTGACTGTGGAGAGGGAGGTGCAGCAGGTGTCACACGCTGAGATAGGGACCCAGGAAGGCGTGAGAGGGACATGGCAGGTGAGTTTGTTTTGTAGATGCCAAGTAGGACACCAGGCATGGAGATGACCTGCCCACTGAAAACACCAGTGTCTGCCGAAGAGCAATCAGATCCTCCCTCCGGCCCTGTGGTCCTGCCCCTTCCCATCCCAGCCTAGGGTCAGCCACTGCGAAGGAGGCGGGGCTTGGGAGCAGTGGGGAAACTGAGTCACGGGAGGCTATGTCTGGCACTAGGCTGCGGCTCCGGGCACACTCTTGTAAGCCTGCTGCTGCTCAAAAGTACATTGAAAGAGGAAGTCCTTTCTTGGGATGATGTTTTCTGGCCCCTCCACTCCTTCTCCCCAGAGCTGGCTTCAGACCTAGATGACCAGGAAAGGCACCCTCCTCGCCACCCGCAGCTGATTCTGGGCATGAGCTCTCCTGCAGCGTGAGCAGGCCGAGGCTCAGGCGCCACCCCCACTCTTCCAGAACAGAAACCTCCCTCCTACTCCCAAGGTCTAATTCCATACACCTCACCCAAAGCCACTTCCTCTAAAAGGGGACTCTGCCCAAACACAGCCCCCGTCAGACACGAGTTCTTTGACCCTGGCACCTCTGGAGAGAAGAGAAGGAGGGCCTGGCTCCTGGAGGCCCCATGCCCAGGAGCCTTCCTCCTGACCCCAGCTCTGCAGCTCACCTGTGCCCAGGGGGAGCCTGTCACACAGACCACACACGCCCTCCACCAGGCCAGACTGCCTCCAGGGTCCCTCATGAGGAATGGCCATGGGTGCCCCTCACGTAGAAATTGAGGGGTCCAGGAACAGAGCCTGGGTGCTAGAGGAGTCCCCTGGGGCCTCTGCAAGCACCTGGGGACTCTGACATCAGTCACTTCTGAGCTCGTGCCTAGTTCCCATTTCAGTCCACCAGCAGGAAGTGCCAGGATCCCACAGCCCTTCCCTCGGGTACTTCCTCTTATTTCACCGAAGACAGATACTGCCTCTTTCCAAGGAGCAGGGAGTCTGGAACCTCCTCGGACAGGAGGCTCTAGGAGCAGATGATGCCCACCTCTGCCTCGCAGCCCCACCTGCCTCTGGTGCCCCTGCTGCTGCCTCTGCTGCTGGGACTCTCAGGTGAGCACTGGCCACGGGGCAGATGGACCTCTGTTCCAGGGCCTCTTTCCCTGCTGCCCCTTTCTTCTCTTTGAGACACTTCCCTCCGCCAACCCTCCAGATCCTCGTTGATTGGAGGGATCCTTTCCTTTCCCACCCAGATCCAGACAGCAACCGTCCCGCCCAGGCCTCCCTCAATGTCAGGGGTTCCCAGCCCCTCCTCTCCTGCACTCCTGACCCCCTCTAAAGGCTTCATGACCCCCATGTGCTTGACGGGCAGGACCCGGTGCCCTTCCAAGGGAGGAGGGAGAGGGGTGGCAGCTGACTTCTTGGTCCTGCTGAAGGCCATGGCACCCAGGGCTTGCGGGGGAAAGGGTGCTGTCTTGGTTCTGAAGGATGTAGATGGCTAGATGGAGAGAGAGGGAAAATTTCAGGACTATACATGGAATGTGGACTGTTAGAAAAAAATTGGAAATTGGTGCTTTTTAGACCATGTCTCCCAGAATCCCAGCATCTTACAACGACATTATTGATATGAGCCTTTCTCCTGCCTGTCCCCTCCCTTCTCCCCACAGCTGACTCAGGCAGGCAGGAGAGGCAGCCCTCCTCCTCCCATGATTATCAGCATCTCAGGTGAGAGGCCATTTGAAGTGGCTAAAAGCACAGATATTTTTCAAAACCAACCTGCCAAGGCTCAACTTCATATTTCATCACTTGGAGGCTGTTTGATTCTGGGCAAGTTACTAAACTTCTCTGTGCCTGTGTTTTCTTGAATGTGAGATGGTGATAAATAATAATGTCTTGCTAATAGGGTTGTAGTAAAAATTAAACTAGTTAATTGTAATTGAGTGTTTAGAGTAAGATGTAGCACACGGAAGTATCTATGTAAGCTCTGGCTGCTATATCCTTCCAAGATTTAGTAAATACAAAAGAATATCTCAAAAATGGTTCTAACCATGAAAGGACGCTCTCTGTGTGTCCTTGGCAATCTGAGTCTTTGTTTAAATTCACAGTAGTGATGGGAAATAGGAATAATCTATTGTGCTCCATAGAAGAAACTGGAAGAAGATGGAGGGAATGGGCCTCCCAGAATTTCCAGACCTGAAGCCCCACCTTGAGACCAGATCAACCTGATGCCCAGGCCAGGCCCTCATCCTCTGGACTCCAGGTCAATGGGGAGAGGCCCTTTGTCTTAGTTGGTTTTCTGTTACTATAACGGAATACCAGAGACTGGGTAATTTATAAAGAAGTTTATTTTGGCTCCCAGTTCTAGAAGCTGGGAAGCTCAAGGATCAAGCTGCCACAATGGTGAGGGCTTCATCTGGCTTCAACTCATGGTGGAAAGGCAAGTGGAGCATGCAGAAGACACAGAACATGAGGGATGGACTAGCTTTAAAACAACCGAGTTTTGCTATAATTAACCCAGTTCCATGAGAGAACTCACTCACCTTATGAAAGAAATTAACGCATTCATGAGAGCTGTACCTTCACAACCCAGACACCTCCCAGGAGGCCTGACCTCTAACACTGATGCACTCAGGAATTCATCTTCCAACACGAATTGGCGGGGAGGGGGGAGGAATGCTCAAACCATAGCAACCTTCTTGCAAAAGTCCTCCTATGAGTCTTGAGTATTTCTCAAAGGCTTTCGGGTTTCAGTCTAACAATAAAACTACAAGGAAAGTCTCACTTCCCACAGTGTTTATGTGGCATAGATGAAAATCTACAGCTCGGGAAGGCTAAGTAATTTTTTTCAAGGTCAAACATCAAGTAAGCAAAAGAGGAGGCATTCTAATGGATCCAAGGGGGCCCACAAGCCTTTTGTTTAACCTCTTTACTATGTTGCTTCCACATGTGTTGAACTCAAAAAGAAACAGGATTACACTCAATGTTTTATTTCTCTTTCACTCAAAGACAAATTGGAGATCTTTTTCCATGCCAAGATACGTATATCTACATCATCATCAATACCAACATACACTTCAGCCACGTCATTTTAACTATTAGTTTCTTTTCTTTCTATTTTGGTTTTGATGTTGTTGTCTATGTCCTTGCTGATTTCTTTTTCTTCCAGTACTAGGGATTGAACGCAGAGGCCCTCTACCACTGAGCCACATCCCCAACCCTTTTTACTTTTTATTTAGCGACAGGGTCTTGCTAAGTTTCTTAGGGACTTGTTAAGTTGCTGAGGCTGGCTTTGAACTTGGGATCCTCCTCCTCAGCCTCCCGAGCTGCTGGGATGACAGGCCTGCACCGCTGTCATCCATTTATATTCCTTTGTGTGTCCATTTATATTACTGCCTGCCGTAGGGTGGCAAATGGGGTTCCCCTCGGTGGAAGGGGTTGGCTGAGAAATAAAAGCTAAGAGGAAATGAAATGCAGAAAATGCCACGAACACAGAAATTAGTTTCAAAAGCACGGGCAAGACTGGCAAGCTGATCCAACTGATGGAGCTTCTGGCAAAATGGAGCCCACATCTGCTTTATTTATCCTGGGAGGCATCAAAGGCCTTCCAAAGAATGTTCTTCTCCAAAAAAGGTTCAAGATACGCTCTTCAGTTCCTAACAGGTTACACCCACCTGTGGAGCTACTAGGAGGAACCTTCCTAGCCAAGTGGAGGGAAAGGTCACTTGCATTGGGGAATCTATTGCTGTGGGAGAGGCACGGAGAGTTCCCAATGCCAAGCCTCTCTCTCTCTCTGGCTTCCATGCCGAGAGAAGATCCTCGTGTATTTCACGGGTGGCTTCCTGCAGTGGCAGTAGCCTGATTCATGATACCATTCCACGACACTGTTAGCAACATTGAAAGCTGACAATCATTTTCATTTCTACCAAACTAACATTCTAAAAATAGTGTATGCTTTTAGAAGGGAGAAATGTTTTGTTTTATTTTTATTACAAGCTTGTCAAATAATCCAAACAGGGAAGAAATAGACAAGTCATTGATACAAGTCTCTATAGCCATCCCACTTCCTGGAGGATATCACATTTTTAAAGTTATATTTGTTTTCTTATCAAGAGTTTTCTACCAAGGGAGTACAATATCCGCTTGATTGCACAAGAAATCTGCATAGTTTCCTATACCCAATTTTAGTCTCTCTCTCAGTGTCATTGACCGTTCTGTGGGCCTTGGTATCAACCTGTCTCTTTTATTGCAGCTGGAAAACGTGCCCTCGTGTTTCATATGCTGAGTCTTGCCTAAATTTTTTTTGTAACCCTTCCAGCTAGTCTGCTATAGCCTTTAGCATTGTGCTTTTGGGTTAAATGTACATTTCACTGGTTTACTGTGGTTACTGAACAATTTTTCAGAGATTTGTTTCTTCCCTGTGACTTTCCTGTCTGAATCCTTCACAAGGACTCTCTTCCTGTCTGTTCTTTGCGAAGCTCCTGGCATCCAGTTCAGCCATTTTCCCATCCTAGATGCTAATGCATGATGTGCGAAGAAGGAATTAATGGGACTTCAATTGCAGTCTGGACCCAAGCACCCAGCCTCAACCCGGGATGGGCCAAGACAGGGCGCTTGAAACTAAGTTGTAATATAGCTCAGTTGGTAGAGTGCTTGCCTTGCATGCACAAGGACCTAGGTTCTAATCCCCAACACCACAAAAATAAATAAATAAAAAAGAGTGACCGAGTTGTGTTTCCTTGTAGGAATGACAGGTGAGGAGGAGCCACAGGTGATTCAACCTGTGAAGTCGGTGTCCATAGCAGAAGGACAATCAGCCTCTCTGCGGTGCATTGTGACCTCCCTGCTCCCCGTGGGATCCATTAAGTGGTTCAGGGGCACTGAACGGGACCGGCAGTTGATCTACAGTTTCAAAGAAGGCCACTTCCCTCGGATAAAAAGTATGTCAGACGTCACAAAGACAAACAACACGGACTTTTCCATCCGCATCAGCAACCTCACCCTCGCAGACGCTGGCACCTACTACTGCTTGATGCTCAGGACAATAAGCGATGGCAACGTGGAAGTTAAGTCTGGACCAGGCACCCTGATACTTGTGCGTAGTAAGTCCAGATCCCTAGAGCCCTAGATAAGTTGTTCCTCGACAAGTCACAAGCCCCAGGAGCTCAGCCCCCTTTGTTAGCTCTTGTGTCAAGACTAGGGACAGATGAGGAGGACAGTGGAGGGTCCCGGTGACGGAGCTGTAGTCTTGACCTTCTGAATCTTGCCTCTCCTAAAGGCTCATGAATAGGTTGCACTAAAGTACAGGCTCCAGGGCCAGGTACCCCGGGTTCCACTTTTAGCTCTGCCATTTACAAACTGAAATGAGATTCTTCAATTCTCTATGCCTCATCTGTAGGATAGGTAGGATAGGGATAATAATAGTATCCATCTCGAAGATTTGTTGTAAGGATTATAAATGTCAATGTATTTATGAATATAAAATACTCAGGAGAGTTCCTGCTGCACATTAATTAGTACATATGATTAGTATTCGGGATATTACAGCCAATTAAACTTTAGAATATTATCTTTAAAGCATCAAACCATAGATTCCCATATGATATAAATATTAGAATTACTGAGATTGAAAATTATAAGGATTGCATTTTTTTCATATTCAAGTATTTTTCAAAAAACAACAACAACAAAACAAAGAAAACATGTTGGCTTTTCATTTAACAACATTCAGAAATATTTTGGAGTGCCTGCTACTTACTCATCAGTCAGTGTAAAACTTAACATCTTTTTCCCTATTTGTTAAATGGTGCTATAACAAGTATACGCCTCAGATGATGGGAGATAACAGTTGCATCATATTTATTTTTTTAAATTTATTCTAATTTGTTACATATGACAGCAGAATGTATTTCAATTCATATCTATGGTTGTACACAACATAGTTACACCATTCATGTCTTCATACATGTATTTAGAATAATTATGTTCATCTCATTCCTATCCCCTTTTCCCCTCCCTTTCCCTCCCTCCCCTTTGCCCTATCTAGAGTTTGTCTATTCCTCTCATGCTCACCCCCCCCACTCCCATTATGAGTCAGCATCTTTATATCAGAGAAAACATTCAGCATTTGGTTTTTTGGGATTGGCTAACTTCACTTAACATTATGTTCTCCAACTCCATTCTTTTACCTGAAAATGCCATGATTTATTCTCTTTTATTGCTGAGTGATATTCCATTGTGTGTGTATACATACCACATTTTCTTTATTCATCTTTCGAAGGGCATCTAGGTTGCTTCCACAGTTTAGCTATTGTGAATTGTGCTGCTATAAATATTGATATGGCTGTGTCCCTGTAGTATGCTGTTTTTAAGTCCTTTGGGTAGAGACTGAGGAGTGGGATAGCTGGGTTAAATGGTGTTCCATTCCAAATTTTCCAATGAATCTCCATACTGCTTTCCAATTTGCAGTCCCACCAGCAATGTATGAGTGTGCCTTTTTCCCCATATTCTCGACAACACTTATTGTTGTTTGTGTTCTTAATAGCTGCCATTCTGACTGGAGTGAGATGAAATATTAGAGTGGTTTTGATTTGCATTTCTCTAATTGTTAGGCATGTTGAACATTTTTTCATATATTAGTTGATTGATTGTATATCCTCTTCTGAGAAGTGTCTATTCAATAAGGATTGCATATTTTGATGTAGATTATATATCCCTATATTTCTTAAATTCTTGAATTCTTAAATTTGGACCTGGCTAATTCAATCATGGCTGAAGATAAAGCTCATGAGGCTCAAAACGGTATCCACAAAGGCCTGGAAGCAGAGCACTTAGCTCACTTGGCCTTGTTTATGTTGGTAAATTGATAATTATGATATTTTTTTAAATGAGTGGAATAATTTAAAGGAATCATAGAAACATATATTCCAACAGAACTTTTTAATTTTTAGGTTCTCAGAACCTTAAGGCCATGGATAAAACAAAGAGAATATAGATAGCATTCAAGGACTAAGAAAAGGTCTTATCATTTTCAGGAATTGGAAATTAAAATCCACATTATAAGAAAGTGTCGAGGATGAGATCAGGAGCAGATGGCTAAGGGCAGCATTGGGTACCCAAAGACAAGGGCTACTGCCTTTGCCTTCCAAAGCCTCAGGGAAAAATATTTCCAACCTCAAGTTTACACCCAGCCAATTTACAGAGTTTGCAAGATCACAAAGGATTGCATTTTATGCATCCTTTTTGAAAAATGGGGGTTAAACAAAGCAAAAATAATGAAGAGAACTAGGAACAGAGAATTGGAGACCCCAAGCTGCCCACCATTCAAGAGGCACAGGGATGGCCCCTGGGCCCTTCCAGACAGGAGGATCCAAAGAGGTAGACCTGCTAGAGCATTCAAATAGTCTTCAAAGTCATACCCACCATTTCTAAAATTGTTTAACACTGTGTTGAACTATTGGCCAATGTCTTTAGAAAGAGAAAGCAACCAATATAGAATGATAAAGAAAGTGAGCAAATTCTCTTTACAGATGATGTGGTTTCTGGAAAACTGAATTGAATCAACACTAAGCTATTACAAACAAGATAATGTAGCAATGTAGAAAATTATAAAATCAACAAACAGAAATCAATGACCTTTATATATACCAACAAAATCCAATTCGAAGATGCCAGGGAAAAGGTGAGAACATATACAATAACAAAATGCTGAGGGGTGATCTCTGCCTAAACAGCAACAGAGGCCGGATTCACTCTCCCACTAAAGTCTGAGCAAACACTTGGAAAAAAATCATAGACATGACATTGGACATCAGGCAACAGACAGTGATCCCATTAGAAGGGAAATTCATATGATGAACACTGGGACTGTCCCCAGGGTACTCCCTGGGAAAGCTTAAAGGCCACAGTGCAGGAAGGGTGACCTCAGGTAGAACCTGGAGCTCTCCTTGAAGGATCTAGAAGTTCTCAGAGGCCAAAGGGTGACTGGATCTCCAAAAAGCAGCTAGCTGCACAGAGAAAGGACATCAGAGACCTGTGAAAGGTCCCCTTGAGAACTCAGCAAAAGACTGAAAAGGATGTTCTCATGAGGAAACTACCCAAAGCTAGGGGCAAAATGTTTGAGGACCTCATTCAGGCCAAGAATGGTGTCTGTTGCCACAAATCTGAATGAGAAACCTCATAATTCATGGACCACCTGTTAGAACACAGAGAAGCACTCGGTCTCAGTAAAAGGAGAACCATCAGAGCTAGACCAAATGACACTGTGCTTCTGCCTCACAACACTTTCATGTGAGACAGAAAAATAAACTGTCTCCCATGTAATTTAACCATGTCCCAAAGCGAGCTCAAACCTATTTATAGAAAGGCAAAATACTCAATACCCAATGAAGTCAAATCCACAATGTCTAGCATCCATTAAAAAAATTATCAGGCATGAAAATGGCACAAGAATATGATTTCAAATGAGAAAGATCATTTGAAACCTAGTGAGAAAAGACAAATGGTAGAACTAGTCTACAAGGACATTAAAGTGACCATGAGTTATTCTGTATGTTCAAGAAGCTGTTGCGGTAGGTGCAAGGAGAATACGAAAAAAATCCATATTGAGCTGAACACAGGCGCACACACCTGTAATCTCAGTGACACAGGAGGGTGAGGCAGAGGGTCACATCTTCAAGGCCAGCCTTGGCAACTTAGTGAGGCCCTGTCTCAAAATAAAACTTTTTAAAAAGGCTGAGAATGTTGCTCAGTGTTAGAGCACCCTCAAGTTCAATTCCCATTCCCTCACCATCACCAAAAAAAAAAAAAAGATGGAAAAGTGAAGTTAAATTTTCCTCTAAGGAGTACAAATCAGTGCACAGATGGCATTCAAATTTCTGAAGTATTCTAAGTTTTCTTTTCAGTTTTTCTAGATGAAAGAGTTCCAGAGATGAATGATAGTGATGGGCGCAAAGTCACAGGATTGCACTGCACACCACTGGCCACTAAAATGTGGTCAAGATGATAAAGGTGACATGTATCTCACCACGATGTTAGAAATGAAGTTAAAGACTTGATCAGACATACAAAAGCTGGGATAATTCATGATTGACAGACCTGCACTCTAAGAAAGGTTAAAAGAAATCCTTTAAGCAGAAGTAAAATATTACCAGATGGAAATATGGATCTATACAAAGTAATGAAGAGCATCAGAATCTGATGCAGGGGGGCAACACCTGTAGCCCCAGCTACTAGGGAGGCCAAGGCAGGAGGATCACTTGCACCCATGAGTGCAAGGCCAGCCTGAGCAACTTCAATATAGTGATGTGCTTTTCCCATCTCAGAAAAAAATAATAATAATCTAATTTAAAGAGAGCTTCAGAGGTGGTAATAATAAATATAAAGAATTTTTTATTAATTTAACTTATTTGAAACATAGTTGTTCAAAGAAAACATAACATCTGGGGGCTTATAACATATGTGGAAGTAAAATGTGTGACAAAATAACACAAAGACTAGAAAAAGAGAAGTAGGTATGTGCTCTTATAAGTTCTAAATGAAGTGGCATCCTATCCCTTGATGGACAGGGAAGAGTTAATAATGTACACCAGAAATCTTAATGCAAACAAACAAAAAAAAAAACACAACAAAGAATAATAGCTAATAAATTTAACAAATGAGATAAAAGGAATATTAAAAACAAAGACAGTCAGAAAATGAAGTACAGTGGAGAAAATGAAGTACAGTACAGGAGCCAGAGAACAAACAAAAGATGGTATATTTCAGCCTAGCCAGAGAGGGCTGGGGTTATAGCACTTGTCCAGCTTGCGTGAGGTCCTGGGTTCAGTCTTCTGGACTGCAAAATACAAAAGTAAAAAAGAAAAACCTTAGACAGATGTTATTTAGTCACCCTAATGAAGAGATTTTCAGATGATATTTTTTAAAATAGGGCCCATTACACATTTCCTGCAAAAAAATAAAAAATAAATCCCTTTAAAACTATAGCACAACTAGATTTAAAAATGAAAGGATGAGCTGGGTATATTATGGCACACCTGTAATCCCAGTAGCTCGGGAAGCTGAGGCAAGAGGATTACAAGTTCAAAGCTAACTTCATCAAAGG